AATCAACATGTGGAACTGACCTGTCCCACAGTCACACTTGTGTAATGGCACACATTTGACGGGAAAGTCCTGTGTATATGTCAATAAAGCACTGTTGGCCAATAGGGAAGCAAGATAGGTGAGACTAGGAGTCGAAGAGGACTCTGGGTAGGAGAAACACAGGGAGTCAAGATGTAACCGCCATGGGGGTAAAAAGCCCAGACCCTTTTCTCCAATAAGAGAAATACTTAGATTAACAGTTATGGGGTAAATACTTAAGTCAGAGATAGCCAGTAAGAAACAAGCAAGGCCAACACCTTCATAATTAATACAGCGTCTTGTGTGTTATTTGGGGACTACAACTTGGCAGAGCCCAGGCGACTGGTGGGGAAAAACCAAAGCGGCTGCAAGGAAAAGTCTTCACTCAACATAATGGTGTCAGAACGGGATTGACTTCCCACATAGAACAACAAAAGATTTAAAGGAATTTTAGAAACAAAAGAACGGAGAAAAACATGGGTTCTTTGTAGCAGCATTTTTCTCAGGTGGGCTCTGTTTTGCTAGAGATAAGCAGAGACTCACACAGCTCGCTTAAGGGAGTCTTCCTGACTCAGCATAAGCAAAAGAAAAAAAAAAAAAGCAAGGTTCTTTTAAGAGGCTCTGCTAACGATTGAAAGGTGTGTACGTACAGCTGGAAGTAACAGTGACCACATCTCTAAGCCGGCAGCGTTTGCTGGATATCAGCATAGACTGAGACAGTGAGCTGGAATCACGCTTACACCCACCATCTTGGAAAAACAACAGTTTAAACAGTCGTGGTTTTAACAGATAAGACACGTGACCAGAAAAACATAAAGATTTACAATTAAGTCAGACTTGGATGAAGAAAAACCTCTAAAGGTTTACAGTGTGTTTAAAATATATGTAAGATTGAGAGAGAAAAAGAAACGGCATAGTGGTATATAAGTAGAGAAGCCGGCTGTGGTGGCGCACGCCAGTAGGAATTGCTCCAGAGGCAGAGGCAGGTAGGTTTCCAAAGAGAAACCTTGTTTCAGAGAAAAATAAATAAAAGTAAAAGAAATAAAATAATAATAAATAAATAAGCCACATAAAGATGAAACATACACAGAGAGTCTAGATACTGTATGCTATTGTGTTTTTCAGTTTTTTCATTACTAAGGAAGGAACAACTGCTAAAGTATGCTTGATTATAAATGCTGCTAAATTAATTCAACTTATACCTTTTGAAAATGCCTTGACTTCAAAATTTAAGTATAAGGATATGTTACTTTGGAAAAGAGTTTTTGTTTATGTTTCTACAGAAAATGGAAAGCTGTGGATTCCTTCCAGGCTTCTGTGGTTTGATGAACCAAGACCCCCGGAAGTAGTGGCCCAAGTGATTCAACATCTAAAACAGCTAAGATGATGCAGCCTTACAGACCATGAAAATAAGGACTTATACAGGTTTCTGAATTTTGTCATGATCCCCATGGTATGAACAGCGCTCCCATCCAGCACTAAGCAGTTTGGAATGAGCGACATCCAAATCCCCATATTGTTTATAAATCTTTGTTTTCATTTGAATGGAGTTGTTTATAATCGGTTAATGATCACAACCAATCTCTTTTTAAAGGAAAAAGGGGATTATGGAATGGAAATGAGTACTTTGCATTGGTATGGTTTCTCATTTATTGATACAACTTCAAGGTCAATTTTGTGATGTGTATATTTCTCATCTTGATTAAGTATTGTGTTTATACTAATCTTTTAAAACATGATGCATAATTAAATACAGACTATAGATAGTTACTTATAATAGTCAGAACTTATAGTTAGGTAAGTTAGGTTTTCTAGATATACAGAGATATATTTGAGATAGATAGACAGTCTTCAAATCTTTCAAAGACCTTCAGAAAATGGCATTTAAAATGGTTTAGGGTTTTTCTTGACAATGAGAAATGTCTGCTCTTGGCAGCACCAATTACGTCTGAGAGGAAGATGGGCATCGAAGAAACTTGTTATGGAGTTTGCTTTCAACATGGCAAGATTAGCCATTTGGGCAAGAAACTGCTCTTGTCTAGACTGCTTGATTGTTGCTATATAAACTGGACATGCAGGAAAGTGACTGCTGAACTCAAACAGTCCTTCAGGGTTCCTGCTTCATGGAAGAGTCTACAAGACTTTCTGCAGGACACAGAAAAATGAATGACAGACTGCCAATGCAGATGGACAGTTTGAAATTTCCTGCTTTGATGGACAGTTTGAAATTTCCTGCTTTGCTGAGAAGTCTTCCAGATACACTGTGGCCTATGGGATGAAAATGGATGCCCAACATTACAGAGGAACTTCAGGTGACTATCCAGGTAGCAAGATGTCTCTGTCAATCCTAGTGTTTATATATTATCCTTCTGTAGTCTTTGATGGAGTTGAAGACATAGTTATAATTATAGTTTTCCTTAGTTATGATAAAAGATAATCTACATATAGAACTTTGGACTCACAAGGATGGGATGGATGATATTTTCTTTAAATCTTGCTAAATGTTGATAGACAAAATATTTTAACTGTGTTCTTACTTGATAACTATTATATATACTTTGACTATGTTAAAGTTAAAACCTTTCTTTTTATTTAGACAGAAACGAGGAGATGATGGAGAAGTCCTGTGTATACGTCAATAAAGTACTGTTGACCAATAGGGAAGCAAGATAGGTGGGACTAGGACCCACATGGTGGGAGAAGAGAAGTGACTCCTGCAATTTATCCAGTGACCTCCACATGCCCACCATAGCATATAGCTAAAAATAACAAAAGAAAATAAAGTGAGGGGCTGGACAGATGGCTCAGCTGTTATGAGCACTGGATGTTCTTCCAGAGCATTTGTTTATTCCCTGCACTCATATGGAAGTTCACATGATTCCAGGTCCAAGAGAATCCAATGATGCCTCTTTGGACCTCTGTAAGAATCAGGCACATATATGTACAGAACACATAAGCAGGCAACATATACTCATACACAGAAAAAAATAAAATAGTTTAAAAACAAGTAATAACGGGTAACAATTTATTTAGATGGTCTTACCACTAAACTCACATTCTTACACACACATACACCTTTTGAGCAGGATCTAGATATGTTTTCCAGGTTGTACCAGAATTCCTAAACCATCTGTGTTTTTTTTCACTTAAAGATGCTATTTTATTGTTTATTTATTTGTGTGTGCACATGTGCTCATGCATGCAGGTGCCCATGGAGGCCAGAAGAGGGCGTTTAACCCCACCCCCGAAGCTCCAGTTACAATCAGTTGTAAGCTGACAGACATGGGTAATGAGAACTCAGCCCCCGTCATCTGAAAGAGCAGCAGCAGCTCAGCCATCTCTTAGGACACTGGGCTGTTTCAAGTGCATGCTACCATGTCCAGTTTATACTCTCTCTTTAGAGAGAAGTCAGGTTTGCCTTAGATCTCCCAGAACCTGTTCACCTTGCAGGTAAGTGATAACATCAAGTTTGAGAATGTGTAAGGTCAAAGACCAGGTCACTCTGCCTTTCAGCTTCTCCCATCAGCAGGCAGCTGTGCAAGCCATCCTGGTTCCTAACCAGGAAATGCTCTCTTTCCATCTTTCAGAAAGTTGAATGGACAACCCCTCTCCCCTCAGTGCTAGCATATTGTGCTGAGCCTCTTCACGCATTGCTGGGAGAAAAGATGATGGTTTTATCGTTAATCCATTCAGTACCTAGCCCTGAGCTCGTTTTGGATAAGGCTGTGAGCACTTTAGTTTTTTTCTCAAGACTACACACAGTAAGTAACTGTAAAGGATCAAACTCAGGTCTGACTAAAACCTGTCGTCTTCCCACCTTCGTTGTTGTTGTAACAGAAGCTGGTTGGCCTCCTTAATCCCGGGGTTATATCACACACACACACACACACACACACACACACACACACACACACACGCACGCGCGCACACACACACACACACACACACACGGCGCCCATCCCAGCTTCAAGCATATCTTCCAAGAGTTGGTATGTCATGTCTTCTGATATGTCTTTCTCTTCGGAAGCAATTCTGGATTTAGTTCTTGCCCACTAACAACAGTTCACTGCCCTTTCCTGCGACAGCACCTTTTCGAAACGCCACCTTTTGATGCAGTCTGACGCTATCATCTCTTAAACAATAATACGCAGTCGATTTGCTGATCATAAAGCACATTCAAACATAGTGTTCTGTCTGCCCTCCACAATCCGATGAGGAGGGCAAAAAGCGGGGGTGGAGGAGCTATCCCATTTTAAGAGAAAGACACCTCTGCAAGGTCGAGGAATGAAAAATCAGAAATTCAGGACCAAAGGCTCAAATTGGACCCTTGATCCTTGGCTCATCCTGCCACGCCTCGCAGGCTCTGACGGTCCAGCCACAGGCTCCGCGGCAGCGATGTCACAGGTGCAGTCCGCCCGCCCACAGAGCACCACCCTCCCACTCCCACCGGTACCAGACCTCCCTCCGTCCTGCCGACCTCTCGACTCCTCTCTTCGCGAGACAGATAGACCCCTCTCCCACCGGCCTCCCCACCTCGCTGCCTCCTCTACGCAGGAGCCCCGTCTAGTCGCAATTGGCCTTCTCTGACTAGCTGCGTCCCTCCGCTTCACCACCTCCTCCTGACAGTCCGCTGGGTTACCTTCTCCAAGGATGCAGGTCTCTGCACAGCCAGGGAACGGGCCAGTGAAAGCACTGTGTTGAAATAAAAGCCTCGGGAGGTGCTGGAGCCGGCGCTGGACCCCGAGCCGCCTCCGCCGCCGCCTCCCCGGGTCCCAGCAGCCGCCATCACAGCGCGCGCCCCGGCGCAGGCGGCTGGATTCGCAGCTCAGGGCCTGCCACGGCCGGACCTCACGGCGCAGACGCGGCGGCGCCCGGCTTCCCGGCCACGTGACCGCCGTGTGGCCCGCCCTGGGTGGCGCCAGGCGTGAGGCCGCCCCCGCGCAGTTGCTCCCCTGCGCCGCTCGGGGCGGTGGTTGACTCCGGAGGCGGGGCTGCCGGCGGGGTACTGGCGGAAGTGGCGCGCGCGGCGGCCCCAGCGAGTCCGCCCGCCGGCGCTGGGCTACGACTCCTGACCCGGTCGCCTCTCCTGCTTCCTAGGTCCAAGCCGTCGCTGGCACCATGTCCGGCTACCCCAAAAGCTATAATCCTTTCGACGACGACGTGGAAGATGAGGACACCCGGCCGTCGCCGTGGAAGGACACCCGCGACCCGCCGGACGGGTCCGACGCGCCGATGGACCGTCAGCAGTACCTGCGACAGGAGGTGCTGCGCAGGGCCGAAGCTACGGCCGCCAGCACCAGCAGGTCCTTGTCCCTCATGTATGAATCGGAGAAGATTGGAGTCGCCTCTTCCGAGGTGAGCCTGGGGCAGAACTGAGCTGAACTGGCCTGTCCTTGCTTTATAAAATGTTATAATGAAATGTCTTGTTCACGATCTTTTGGCATTTTTCTAAGAGGAAAGCTCCCTTACCTACTATTCTGCATGGTTGAATCCCCCACCCCACCCCCCGCGCGCTCTGCTGCCCACATAAAGGTAAAAATCCAAATTATGTTCTGTCTGAGGTCAGAACTGAGAGTAAAAATGTCAAAGAGAGAGTAAAACTGCCTGCATTAGGGAAATAGTGACTGTATCATTTGTGTATAATTTCTTGGGCAAAAGTCTTAGGCTGTTCCTCTCTCGTGACCCAGTTAAAATGTGGACTGTCTATGCCCCAGGTGCCAGGTGATGCCTGGAGCGCTAGAGAAAAGGAAGTCTTGCATTCTTCTCACAGCTTTGACCACTTTCCACCTTATTAGTGGGAGTGCTTTAAGTTCCTTGCCTCGACTCCGACTCCTGCTCAGGAAGTCGATCTTGAATTGTGTCTAGACTCTTACCTTTACAGATAATGTGTTCATATGACAGTCTGGTGTTTCAGTCAGCTCTTTCCGTCCATAGAAAATTTTCAGAAAAACTGTGTGGTGGCGGCTCGTACCTTTAATTCCAGCACAAGCAGATCTCTAGGATTTCAAGGCCAGTCTGGTTCCAGGACAGCCAAGGCTACATAGAGAAAGCCTGTCTCGAAAAACCAAGAGAGAAAATAAAATTTTCAAGAATTTTTGTTTCGTCTTTCTTTATGTGTCTGTGTGTATGCACATGTGTGGTGGTGTCTCCTGAAACCAGAAGAGGGCACCAGGGGATCCCTTGGAGCTGGAATTAAGTTGTGAGCTGCCCAGTGTGGGTGCTGGGTACTGAGCTGATCTTCTGGAACCTCTTAAGCCCTTTTGGGGGGAGTTTTGGTTCGGTAGACGGTATATCTGTGAAGTCCAAGCTGACCAGGAACTGGCCTCAGTCTCTCTGACGCTAGGATTACAGGTATGCCCTATCATGGAATAAGGATTGTTCCAAGACCCCAGGTTGTCCCCCGAGTCTACTAATAAAACAGCTGTTTGGGCAGAAGAAGAAAATTAAGAAATTACTGATACATCAGTTAAGAATAACCTTAAGCATTTTGCACTTTTGAAAAGAAATAAAATATTTTCTTCCTCTTCCAGTCTCCCTGCTCTCTGCCCACAGGGACTTGGGCAGATCTGAGGTGTACTGATTACCTCATGTAGCCATCTCTGTCATTTCTGCATCGCTGCTGTTTTACCTTCTGCTACCCACCCCTGTTACAGTAACCCTGGTTGCTGATGTATCATCTGCCTCTAGGAAGTTGTGCATATAGTTCTTAGCTGTGTACCAGATGCTAAAATTCCAGTCCAGATCAGCTGGGGGCTTTGGGGCCTTGGTGAACAGGTCACTTGGTTTTGAGATAAGGTCTTATAGTGTAGCCCAGACTGATCATGAACTCAATATCCTCAGAGTGCTGAGCTCGTAGACACGCACCACATGCCCAGTGCCCACTGTGCACAGACAGGTAGGTCCTCTGGAAGAGCAGGAAGCACCCTGAGCTACTGGGCCGTCTCTCTAGCACCAAAAGAGAACCTTTCTCAATAGTATCCTTATGTAATCCTGACTGTAGAGTAGGCGGGCTCAGTCTCAGAGATATGCCTGACCTTGATCCTAGGAGTGCTGAGATTCAAGGAGTATGCCCCCACTCCCAGCATTTTTATTCTTCTTAGCTTTAAAGTGAGGTATTCTTTACACATCACCTTGTATGTTGTTTAGTAGCACTGAAGGCTACAGTTAAATACAATGAGGATTTTTTGGAGGGAAGAGGAAGGCAGGCTAATGGCCATGTTGTATTCCATTAAAGAGATGACTTCTGTTTATGTAGCCAGTCTCCTAATGGTGAACATTATAATACCTGCTTCCTACATGGACATAGATTTTTGTATACCTTTTCACCATCCTGGCCAAAGCCATTTACCTTCCCAGGATACTGCCTCTCCTGTAGCAGTGTAGTGTACTACAGTGATCTTTTTTGGAGCCTGATAACTCAGTTCAGCAGAGTCCTGAAACAAACCTACCAGTAGAAAAGGACTGGTGTTTGGTAAAACTGACACATCATATGTTCAGCCACCTTGGCAAGCACATGCTCTTCAGAGGCCTACTCGTCTTTAAATGTGCTGTTACTGAAGTCACACTGGGTTTCCATTTCAGAGAGGTGGCAGAGACAGAGAGATGGCATCCCTCTTAACCCTAACCAGACCTGCTCCTCTAGAGCCATTCATGGTGACTCTAATGAAGCCTGTTTCTCGGCAAAGGCTGATAAGAACAGAAAGACAGCTATTAGATCAATTCCTCTCCAGCCCTCAGTGATTTTTTTAATGTAACCTAATAACCAATTTGTGTTTCTGAATTCATTCCATGCCAAGGAAATCTCTGGCTCATACAGAACTCAGCAAGTTTCACATTTGCTGAACCATACCAGCTGGATCTGTTAGTGTGGGGGTTTATTACCTTGGGAGAGGAGAGAAATAATGGGGAAGAGTTTCTTTTCCTTTCCTTCCTGAAACAGAATTTTATATTCCTTGGGCTAGCCTCAACCTTGCTGATCCTCTTAAGTTCACTTCCAGAGTGCTGGGAGTGCGTGCCTGTGCCACACTCTGGGTTATCCTAGTCTGGGGTGATACGTTTCAGATTTCTGGATTTGGTGCACTGACCCAGATTAACATTTATGTACTTACCAGTTAGTAGCTACATTTAATTTCAAACTCATTGTGAGGCCCACCTGATGTTACAGGGTGGCCTAGCTGTAGATTGTGGTGTGGCCCTGTGGTCACTGCTGCCCTCGGGAGGCCTCAAGTCATTTGCTGTGTGTTTCCACTGCGTCTTATGGATCCCACCCACACCCTTCTGTGCTCACCACACAGTTCCACTTCCCCTCAGTAACTCCAGCTGCCTAGACCAGCTGCTCTCTTCAGCTCAGCGTTTACCCCCACCCCACACTTGGGACTCTGATACACTCCTCTTAAACCAGGCCAGGGGTCCTTGCTGGGGTTGAGTTCACTATGACCAAGAAGCAACCTGTGTGTAATGATGTTTTTATTGTTTTTTCTATGGACCTGAGCTCAGTGAAGCAAGGATGTGCCTTCCTCAGTTCTCAGCACCACGCTGTGGTTAGCAAGTCAGAGAGTCCGATTGAATCTGCTCCTACCCTGTGTGGATCATATGAGCCCTCAGGGTAGAGTTTGGGCTTGTTTAGTCCCCACATAATAGCTAGCACTGGAAGGGTGACAAAGGCCCACACTGTTCCATGCTGCCTTTGATCCCCTGAGCGCTCACAGTGCCCTGGAACATAAGCTGTCAGGTGAGTGTCCCCTCCCTTCCGGCAGTCTGTGCTCTTTGTGTCCCTGACTTGTGCTTTCTGTTGCTCTCAGGAGTCACTCAAAGAACAGAGGAATGAAGGGACTGTCTCTGTAGTCGCTTGGCAAGCCATGCATGTCTTCTCTTCTTTTTCCTGTGTAAATGCAGAAAACTCTTGGGGCTTAAAGAAGTCGGGGGCTCCGCTGGGCGTTGGTGGCGCACGCCTTTAATCCCAGCACTCGGGAGGCAGAGGCAGGCGGATCTCTGTGAGTTCGAGGCCAGACTGGTCTACAGAGGGAGTGCCAGGACAGCCTCCAAAACTGCACAGAGAAACCCTGTCTCAAAAAAACCAAAAAAAAAAAAAAAGTCGGGGGCTCACCTGTATCGCTTGTATCACTGGCCTGTCTGTTGTTCACATGAGGGCATTTTGTATTTCCTTGTCCTTTGTTTTTGAGACAGGGGCTCATATAGCTCAGACTGATCCCCACCTCTGTGTACCCGAGAATGAGCCTGGGCTCCTGAGTCTGCTTTCTCCTTCCATGAACTGGAATTACAGACACGTCCCACCACCCCAGTTTGCAGAGTGCTGGGGACTGAGATCCCAATCATGTGTACTAGGCAAGTGCCCTTACCAGCTGAGCCACATTCCTCGTCCAGAAGTACACACACCACACACACACACACACACACCACACACACACACACACCACACACACACACACACACCACACACACACACACACACCACACACACACACACCACACACACACACCACACACACATACCACACACACACACACACACACCACACACACACACCACACCACACACACACACACACACACCACACACACACCACACACCACACACCCCTGAAGCCACTTTGTACTGGTGTTGGCCTCCTCCTCACAGAGGCAGATGGAAAAGCCAACACTTTTAAGCTATGGGAGCACTTTTGAGGTCTGTCTTCACCATGACTGTGTAGGTATCTGGTCTGTGAACCTATAACGGTGGCCACACACCTTTGGGTGTGGCTTTAGGCAGACAGAAGTGGAAAGAGGAAAGCGTAAGGTGTAAGACATGGTCGCTTGTGTGGGCTCTCTCTAGTGGATTAGCAGATTCTGTAGGAAGGACAGGGAAATGCTTCCGCAGTTCTTTGTAGTTTTCTGCGTAATTGTCCCCCAATAAACACCCATTTATCATTTATCTTGAGTTCAGTGGTATCATTACATCCTCACCTTCAATTGGTACCCAACATGGGGCAAATTGTAGGCTAGAATGTCTGAATTCATGATGCTCATCACCGGTCTACTCATAAACCTCCAAATGTGATATGCCAAAAGGGGCATATTGAGACCCAGTGTAAGCCACTCTGCTACACAAAGAAACATCACACAGAAGAAAGCATGGATGAGGTACTCTGGAAGTACAAGAGGATTCAGGGTGTTATACTGGTCTATAGGAGTCTACAGGAAACATTGAGGAAGCACCACCAGTTCTCCCGACATGTGCCCTGCCACACCCCCTCCTCCTTGGGCAGTTCTAGGTTAGAGCGCATTTGGTCCAGTCATTTCCTATCCCTTTTAGGGGAGGAGTTTAACCAAAGAAGCTGGTCTCATGTTCTCCA